CCGCAAGTTACCGCCCCATCCTGTTCGACTACTACCCCTCGACTACATCCCCCACTGGCTACCGCCCCTACTGGCTAACCCCCCTTACTGGCTAACACCGCCCCTTACTGGCTAATCGGCTAACCGCCCCCCTACTCTCTTACCGCCCCCTACTGGCTTACCGCCCCCACTGGCTTACCTCCCTCTACTGGCTAACCTCCCCCTACTGGCTAACCTCCCCCCACTGGCTAACCGCCCCCCTACTGGCTAACCGCCCCCCTACTGGCTAACCGCCCCCTACAGGCTAACCGCCCCCTACCGGCTACCGCCCCCACCTGCTACCGCCCCCTGCCCGTGGCTCGACGCGGGCGTTGACCCCGCCGCCGTCGAGCGCGCCGTTTCCAGACCTTTTGGCGCGCGACTAGTCGCGTGGTGGGGCTGGGGGCGGTGGATGCCCCCTCCCCCTCATCGCGCAGAAGTGCCCCTTGATTACCTATTTGTCTTCAGAAAGCAATGCTTCCCCCCGACTTTGTCTCTGTGTTTTGCTCTCTGCCGGCCTCTAGTGGTGGGCGCTGCGCCTTTGAGACGCTCGGGCCGACAACGCCGATAAAACCAGACAAAGGGAAAAATGGGGACAAAAACTCGCAACGAGGGCGGGGAGGAGGAGGAGGAGGAGGGGAGGGGGGCGGTCATCGACGAAAGTCGAAATAACAGAAAGAAACATCGCCGAATAAGCCTATGTGCGGCTGAATTAACCACAACAAAACCCATGAAATAGGGCGCGTTGTAGCTTCCCGCGAGGGTCAAACAGGCCAACGCGGGGCGGTGCTGCGGTCCACGCGGGGGAAATATGGGTCGTGTAACTTGAGGTGTCCCGCCTCGCGTCAGCACGCGTATGGTCGAGCGTGTATTGTCGACCGGCGTGAGCAGTTACACGACTCTTCGCGCGCGCACAGAGAGGGGTGGGCGAATTACAGGGTATATATCCCCATCCCAATGGATGTTGTTACCCCCCCCCCCCCCTCGCGCGCCAAGTCCAATTCCGTGGCGAGTTGTGAGCGCTTCTGCTGCTGCTGCTGGGTGCTGGGTTGAGGAGGAGGGCTCTTCTGAGCTCTCCCGCGCGGGGGGCAGAGCGCTTCCAGGAGGAAAAACGCGCTCCCCCCGCGCGGCCGGCGTCTTTGCTGGTTGCGCTCGTTCAAGTGACAGACTCCTTATATGCGGAAGCGCATCCGTGTGGTTGGCACAAATGTAAAAAACTTGTTTTGTAGCTACCATTGTCGTGGGGTTTTTCGGTTAGATTTGCAGTTGCGCTGCAACTTTGAACGGCTGCCCCCCCCCCCCCCCCCCCCCCCCCCCCCCCCCCCCCCCCCCCCCCCCGACGACAGGGAAGAAGGGCAGGGGCCGGAAAAGAAAAAAAAGGGGGGGGAGGGGGGGGGGGTCGAAATCCGAAAGCTTCGGGATGAATATCAGATTAAATTAAATGGCGCTCGGGGAGCCAGAGAGCTCCGGACGGAGGAAGAGGCGAGCTGAGACCAGCCGGGAGGACAATAATATGGGCTCTGTCAACTCTCCGATATAATCATTTTTTCTCAAAAAAATATTAAAGATGAAGCATCGTACAGGGGGGGGGGGGCGAGGAGAGGAGATATCATTTTCTTGGCAAATGGAGTTTGCGATGGGACATGGGTGGAGGGGAGGGAGGGAGGGGGTCAGGTGAAGAGCCACTCTGGCCGGGGCCGGGGTGTAAGGTGTAACAAACATTAACCTACTAACGGTTAGTTGTGTGTTTTCATCAAGTTGTTCCTCTACCCCGACTTCTGAACGGGACCTCTTGCTGTCATAATTGCTTCTAGCCCCGAAAGGACTACTTAGCGGGAACATGAACCCAGGAAAATGTTTTTTTTTCTTTGTGGTTTTTTTTTTTTGTCTCGAGAACTTTTCATTAATACGGGAAACAAGATTTTTTAGACGTGGTTTCACTTGGGTGTGCATGAGTTCTTCCGATGAACCCCGCACCTTTACAAATGTCACTTCGGCGATTATTGTGCCCGCAAATTCCCCGTTACGCAATCTAACGGCCACGCCGGCTGTTCTAGAGAAAAGAGTCAGGTGTATACAAAATTTCAGACACCCTACAGAAAGGCCATATACGTCGTACAAACGGTATGGGACCCCGGGGAGGGAGGTTATTTTTTTTTTGGGGGGGAAGGGCGGAGGGGGCAGTCTGAGCTCAGTAGTTGGAGGGTCGCAGGGTCACAGGAGGCAGGGCAGACAGGGCCTCAGGTTCAACCCTCCGGTCGGTCCAGCCCCGACCCCAATCAGGACGAGTTTGTCGCAGGACGCAGGAGGAGGACCACCACCGGGGCGCACCCCGGGGGGCTGCCAAGACCAGAAGGGCGGGGCGGGGCGGGGCGGGGTGGGGTGAGGTAGGGTGGGGTTGGGGACTTACGGGTCCCTGCGTCCAACCGGCTCTAATCCCTGACGCTTGAGTTTAGAAAATCGAGTTTCCGCCCCCCGGAAGCCGTGCGCTTTCTGCCTCTGCGGCAGGAGGAAGGAGGCGGAGGGGAGGGGGGCAGGTGGAGGATGCAATCCACCTAGATTGATCTCGCGTCGGTTTCGTGCGGCGCCCTTTCTGACCGACCGGACCCATCATAGGGGATCCCTATGGTGATGGAGGCGGCCATAACGTACGTACGCCAATAACACGGCACAGTGTCGTGTCTCCAAAAGGTGCCTGACTTTGACGCACCTTGTCCGTCCGGCCCCCATGCATGCAACCCCGTTATTGGAGAACGATATGGTGTTTCAATGCAAGCGCCACCTTTTTTGGAGAATATCACTCTGTGGCCTAACTTCCATTTTATATCACATGCACCCTGATGGCCTATGTTAAAGGTGTAACCGGTCGCTGATTCACGCTGCGCACTTCCGTAGTTGTATACTGTACCGGGTGATTCAGAGAAGACGCAGGTGCGGGCGGGTTTGCCTATCCTCGACTCGGCGGGCGCACGAGTCCAGGTCTGGGGAGAGATGAGGAGGGGACCCGTGCGCCCGCCGAGTCGAGGATAGGCAAACCCGCCCGCACCTGCGTTTTCTCTGAATCACCCGGTATACCGCATGCGGGCGGGTTGCCTACTCGCACGGGGCCACAAGGAGCCGTGTGAGTAGCGGAGGATAGGCAAGCCCGCCCGCACCCGTTCATGGCGATACAGTGCAACTACAGAAGTGCGCAGCGTGAATCAGCCACCTGGTACAGAACAGAAACAGCCCAGAGAAGGCGCCAAGGGTCAAGCAAGTTACTCGGGCGCGCTTACTCACACGAGACACCTCGTGGTACCTCGTCGTATTTACAAGGGAGCTCGCTCGGTGCAGTGACCCGCAAAACATCAGCAACACGTCCTCCGATCCGAACGACGCAGACATTTACAAGAGACTCTAGCAGTCCTGACATCGGGCAACGGGAGGGAATGCATAACCAATGAGGAGGCCCAGACTGCGTGCATGAGGATAGATAGATAGATAGATAGATAGATAGATAGATAGATAGATAGATAGATAGATAGATAGATAGATAGATAGATAGATAGATAGATAGATAGATAGAT